TTTTTGGCTGGAGGTAATTAAATGGATAGAAACACTGACTAATCAAAAAATAGAGATTAATGAAACATTATTGTTATTTTCATTATTCACAGGGGGGAGTGAGAAACTACAATATAAAGAATTAGTTGCAAATCTTATAGGCACCACAAGATCCAAAATAGCTAGAAAATGGAAAAAAGCCCAAGATCTCTCACTGCAAGCATTCACAAGTAAAATATGGCATACATTGCTGATGGAAAAAATGACTAACAAAGTTAGAGTACATAGAGGAGAAATAAGCCATAGTAAATTCACGGAAAATTGGAAGCCATTATTAAAATATGCCGACAAAATAGACTTTGAGACATGTGGTTTGAAAAGAGACTTAGATTGTTGGTCAATATTTCTTTAAAAGGTGATGGGGAATGGTACATATGTGATTTGGAGAAATGTGGGGAGTAGTTTTGTATTTATTATTTGTAATATGGTCGATTTTCTTTTCATTCTTTAGAAATAAATAAATTTTGTTTCTAGAAAGAAAAAAAAGATGGAGGCCAATCATTGCGGCCAATTCCGGATAGGTTGCGTAATATATGGAAAAGTTATGCCTGCTGACTGGATGCCTTGCTTATCTGGATAGCGAAGTAGGCTTTTCTAGCAGACTCTTCCTTAGCAAGGTAGAGGTTAGATGTGACCTTGGCAGCTTTTAAGTTATTTTCTGTCAGGTTCTGCCTTCAGACACTGTCTAGCCTTATCCTATTCTGCTTCATAGCCCACAGCTGCTGGTTAAACCAAGGCACTGGTTGGGCTCTGTGGCGGAGAGGGTGTTTAGGAGTGATTGTGTCTACAGCCCTGGCAGTGGCAGCATACCAACCATCCACCAGGGCCTCAACAGGACCGCCAGCCTGGTCAGTCAGAATTCCACACATGGCATCGTGAAACCCAATAGGATCCAGCAGCCTGCAAGGGTGGATCATGAAAATAGGTCTTTGTTCCCCATGAGGAGTGAGGACCACCATGAGGTTGCACTTTATCAGGTGGTGGTCTGACCACAAGAAGGGGACCAACTGAAGGTCAGTCACCATCGGGACACACTCTCTCTGCTCAGTGGAGAAAACCAGATCCAAAGTGTGGCCACCCACATGTGTGGGGCTGTTAACATGTTGGGATATGTCTAAGGAAGCCATGGTTTCCAAGAACTCAAGAGCCGGACCGGTAACCTCTGCCTCCGCATGGATGTTGAAATCACCCAAGACAATCAGTCTCAGGGATCCCAACAGAGCCATGGAGATGGTCGGTTAGCTCAAGTAGGGAGGTGGCTGGATTGCGGGGAGCAGGGCATGCTAGCAAGCTCCCAATACATTCCG